GACCATTGTTGACCACTACTGACCACTACTCATAAATTGAATTTTTGAATTTTATAGTCATACCAGTTTTTATGCTCAAAATTTTGTGTGTGTGAGATTTTTAAGTTTAAGTTCCAACGGTCGTTTCCAACTCCCAAAAAAATAGCCTGACTCATAACAAAAACTTATTAAAGTTTTGCTAGAATTATATTCACGTGAACGACCTATTAAGATAGGAATATAACTTTTAGTAAACGAATAATTATTCGATTTTTAGGTTACAAATACTCTAATAATTAAAACATTAATTTTACTATGAAAAACTTAAGGTCGGTTTACCTAGATTTATGATTTCAAATTATGAATGGCATGCACAATTGTTAATATCGGTATGTCTATGATATAATGGAGATGTCAAGACATTGCATCAATATATTTGATTTGATTCAAGCTTTCTCAGATTAATGTAGGATATTGAAAGGCAAAAATCAAAAGGAAATAGAACAATTTAATTTTATATTAACAGTGTATGTGTATTAATTACTATAACCGGAATTGAATTTTATTATTGTCTCTTCACAATTTAATAATTTATCAAGAGGTTAGCAAAATATAATTTAAATACTATAATTGCTTTAACTTGATGCATTTTTCCTAAAAAATCTTTTATTTTTAAAATTACAATGTATTGCCCTTGAGTAACATAAACATTCGATGATTATTTAACAAGCTTATTATGTGAAATAAATTACTGACGAGAAACTTTGTGCTACTCAAAGGCAATTTTCTGAAAAAATCGATACTATATATGCCAAAGTAAGCATGCTTAAAATTTGTAAATACTTTGTTTATGGCAAAAATTTTTTAAGGAGATTAATCTTCGAATTCTGATTACAAAATTTCCAAGTCCATAAATAACAAATAATATGTTGTGATTTTTTCAAAGTATAATTTTAGATTCTAAGTTAAATTATGGCAAAAGGTTGAGAAATTGTGTTATATCTACTTAATTTATGGATGACAAAATTAATTAACATTATTTTTGAGTTCAGAATTCACAGATTAATTTAAAAATATTTTAATTAATAAAATACGTAATTTTTAAAAACTTTGACATCTCCTTTATAACATATTCTAATATTTGATTATTATTTAATAGAAAGAATATATTTAATAAATATGATTAGTTTACTAATTGTTCATTATTTAGAATATAGAAATATTGAACCTCGACCACCAATTTGAGTTGGCAATTAAGTTTTAACAGTAAAATTTAATTGACTCAATGTTATCGATATTATCCACATAAATTTTACTGTGAGAACTTAGTTGCTAATTAAATTTACAAACCAACCCGTTGAATTCGATTTCAAAAAGTTTTTGACCAATTACACCAAGGCTATATATATCTCGTTTCGATCCATACACTCCATTATAAACTTCATATGGCGTATATGCCGGGGCACCGACGCCCTCTGTATGTTCCATATTGCTTTCTGCATGATATGTAGCAAGGCCAAAATCAGCAAGTTTGATAAAACGTTTAGTATCAATAGTATTGTACGATATTAATATATTGTCAGGCTTAAGGTCACGGTGTATAACTGCCAAATTCATCTTATGTAAATAATTAACTCCTTCAATTAATTCTAAAAATACATGCGAAAACAAATAATATTCGTGCAAACTTATTAAAGTATTGCGATCCCGGTTAAATGCAGCATGGCGGCTTTCTAAAACGTTCTTTAAATTCTCGTGACAATATTCCATTTGAATAAAAATATTACAATTTTCGGACCAAAACGATTCCAATTTGACCACAAATACGCTCTGAACGTGCGTGAGCAATTGTAATTCTTTAATTGCAGCCGGGCCTATTTTTAAAAACATCAAATCTTTTAATGGTAATAGAATAATGATTTAATTGTATTCATTTAGAATTGTGTACATTTAATTGATACATACGTAACTCAGTTATTTTAATAGCGTAAAAATTTGATGTAGCCTTTTGCCTCACTTTATATACTTCACCAAATGAACCAGATCCGATTAATTCGAGCGAATCGAAATTGTTTTTAATTTTTTCGTTTAATAAAAGTGATGTTTCTAGTTTACTAGTATTAGCATTTGATTTATATGATGACTGTTTATTATTTGGAAAAAATAATGCAATAATTAAGCATCGACATAAATAGTAAATTAGTAATATGCCAATAATCACTAATAAAGGTGTTGAATATAATAAGGCTTTATTTTCAATTATTGAAGAATTTTTTGGGTTTGAACTAGTTACATTTTGATTATATGAAGTTAATGTTGTGTAATATGTAGAACTGATGGCAGGTGTTACTGATGTACTTGTTTCTAAAATTATAAATATTTATCAAATAAAGGAGATCGTCCATTTCTGCCTAAGCTGGCAATCGGGATTTTTTGATTGGATATGAAGGTTTATTCAACGAGGAGTCCAACTATGTAATTTATTTTGTCCTGTGACCTCGGGTTCGGCCGCACTGACCACTTTAATTGGGAAAAGTTTTAATGAAAATATTAAAATATGATATATGAAATCAGTGTAGAATCTAACGTAGAATAAGAGTATCTTACTCAAAATATTATAGACAAGTTTTAAAAAGAAATCTGTTAATAAATTATAAATTCAAGGTTTTGCAAAAATAAAATAAGATAACTGCACACCCACCCAAAAATTTTTTGTTATTAATTTCTCATTTCATATGAATTGATGGTATGAAGCATCAATAATAAATATATATAATTTTCATCCATAAATTACGTCGATTTAATTAATAAAATAGGGATTTTTAATTATTAAAATAATTATTTCTATCTATATTTTATTAAATATTAGTTTTATATTATTTTGAGTAAGATATTCTTATTCTACGTTAAATTCTACATTGATTTTATATATTATATGTAAATATTTTCATTAAAACTTTTCCCGATAAAAGTGGTCACTGCGGCCGAACCCGAGGTAACAGGACAATATAAATTATATATTCGGACTCAGCATTGAATGTTCTTTCATATCCTACCAAAAAATCCCGAGTGCCAGCTTAGGCAACTTAACGTACCCATTGGACAGGGTCCTTACTTGACAATTCCTTGACAGTTTTTTTTATTGCAAAAACACTGCTAATTATTTAAGAAAATAATATTTTCACTATTTTTAATCAAGATTTTAGACGTTTTATTAGTTTTTAATTAATAGCAGTAATCCTTTCGTATTTAATTGTGTACTTCACTGAACAGTATTAACACATTGTTGTGAACTCATCATTTGTCAGTAAATTAACATTAAATTGTGTCCATCGATTAGATCTAGACTCCTTAAGATTTTGTGACTCGATTTCGATGCAATTATTATTATTTGAAATATTTATTCACATGGAATTTGTTAACATATTTAAATTACATTTTTTGTATGAAATGAAAAACCGTTTGGTTTAAAATGATTAATTGAATTTTAAATTTGTTGGAAAACTTATTTTATAGACATCTTCTATTGATTTTAGTGATATGTACTCAAGTAATACAAAATATTTGTTTTTCAATTTTGATTTGAAAATATAGATTAAGTACTAAATAAAAAATATCAGTAATTTCCCGTAAATAACTCTATATTTTAAAATATTGCAATTCCTTGACATTTTAATGTCAAGGAATCGACTCCGCCTTGAACCTTGACAGCTACGCCCATTCCTTGACAATCAAGGTGAAACCTTGACGTTTGGTCACTGTACAGCTTATTTAAATCTCATATGTAATTTAAAACAAAATGTCATAAATTGAGTAATTAATAAAAAATAAATGCAATTATAATTGTTTTTATTTTCCTTGAACCAAAATTAAAATTTTAAAAATACTTTTATTGATGCCGGTAAGTTTAGCCTTTTGTAAATAATGTATTTTCTATTTTATTTATTTCATGTTTACAGGTTTTCATACAAGCCAGGTCATTTAAATCGGCCTATGATACCATACAGCGAGATACGGTTAAAATAGCTCTGGAGTTGGTAGCTGAGGACCTAGAGCAATAATTAGACCATCCTATTGTAAACGCAACTGGACACAAGCATGGCAAAGTGAAAATAACTGAACTATATATATTATCTAATGAATTTGATAAAATTGATGTTCAAAGTAATTTGACATTTGAACTACGAGAATCGGACCTAGATCGTATTTATGATCAGTTTGCTAAAGATATTTTACCAGGTAAATACTAAGTTTATTATATTTTATTATATTTATATTTCAATTTATTATAATAACTTAATATTTAAATTAGCATTGTGTTAGGTTTATTGAAAGATATTAACCAAGGTTATTTAACTATATTCTGATTTTTTAAGTATGTCAATCACTTTTATCATAACAATCAGATATAAGATAAATGCGATTAACGGTAAAAATTAGAAATGATTTTGACATTCACTTAACATTATGTGCCTAATTATGGGAAGTAAAACATATGTCCAAGCTTACATTAGCTATTTATTAATAAACATTTAGATTTCACTTGAATTTATATTATTTTCGAAAATATTATAATAAGCAATAATAAGCAAACAAAAAACATTTCATAATTATATTAAGTAAAGGCTTAAGTGATAATGTATCCTGTTGTTGTTGTTGGTTAAATAGCCATGTTTATGACAGGTGATCTTATGGGTACAATCACAAACTGATGAATTATTTTACTCAATTAAAATTCAAATTTTGAAATCAAATTTATTTTAAACTCAAAAGCACTAAAATTTATATCTCCTTAATATATCAACTAGATCCTATTGTAATCCTAGTGTTAATCCCTTTCCATTAACGCCTACCTAATATCCTTATAGTCATCAAATAAATGACAACGATTATTTTGATTTTATTTACTTAATACATATAAAACTGTATTTTGCAAACGTTTCTAAACAAGGTTAATCTAATCGCAGTTTTCAAGTAGAAATTGATTTTGTTGATTGTACCATGGTATAAATAAATAGGTAATAGACATTGCACAACCAGACAGTAAATATTTAATTATTTTCCAGGTCTGCTAAATTTACATTAATATTAAATATGAAAGGTTATATAGCATTTGCTATTTTAGCTGTGTGTATTTGCTGTAAGTATTACCTTGTTTATTTTATAAATTATTTACTGTTTATCTAGTAGTTAATTTATTTATTTACGTGGCTAATATTTACATTATAAATTATTTCTTAAAAATTGTATTTAAAAATTTTATATTTATTTTAAATTAAAGTACATGTAGCTAATCGTGTTAATCAATGTCATACAAATTATTAAACTATTTCTTTAATTATAAACTAATAAACTTTTTAACATATAATTCACAGCAACGGTAGCGCCACCACCAACCACACAACCACCCCCACCTTCACCAACAACCACACCCATACCACTGGACAAGGATGCCCTACTGAAAAAAGCGGCCGAACTCGACAAACTGGCCAAGGATGAAATAGCCAAGTTTGACAAACTGTCGCGTCGGGCTCTGGTATCCAACGTCGAGAGCCTGGACCAGACTCTCCTGGATTTGGCCGCCAAGATCAACACTACCTCCGGCGTACTGCCCCTCCAGGTGCTCGAGTCGCAGCTGTTTTGGATAGAGCGGGAGTTGGGACTGGAGATCGACGCCATCGAAGCGGCCTATAATATGGTCGTAAAGTTGCTGAACAACGCCCTGGTATTAGACGCCCGGATCGATAAGGGTATCCAAAAGGTAGGCCCCGACACACCCGTGGGTAAGGCCCTGAAGGAGGAGAAGGAGTCGCTCGCGAAAGTGGCGAATAGTTTAAAGGCGGCCACGGATGCGAGAGCCATACAGGTGCTCGAGTTTGACCTGGCTCTCATCGAGGAGAGAGTTAATACTGAGCTGCCACCTGGATACTAAATTGTATTTTAAAAATTCAAATAAATACTTTTACAAATAAATTGAATTTGTTCACTTTATTTAATTATAATCATAAATATTTTATTACTTGGTTTTTTCTAGAGGTTATTCCAATTCATTAGGATTAATACAGTATTACAGTAGTATTGATTTAATACCGAACTTGGATCTGGATACTAAAATGTTTTTATAAAATTTTATAAATAATTAATAATTTTATTAAACTAATAATTCACGAATATTAATATTATAAAAGTTAAGCTATAAATATATTATTATCAATGATTTCAAATACACCACAATGCACATACGTAATTGTTTAATCAATTGCTTATCTAGACACTTATAATAAAATTACATTTAAAATCCATTGTCTGCGAATTTTTATATATAATCAATTATATACAATATTCACAATATATTATTAAACTCAAATACTTATTATAAATTAATTTTAATCAATTAATAGTGGTCATAGCATAATTAAAATTTATAATAATTTGTTAATTTATAACTACTAACTACTATTAACTAGCACCAAGATGACAATGTATATTTTAATATTATTGCTACAGGTATGTTGACAAAAATTGTCTTAATTTATAATAACATACCAATAAACTAGTAATTCACTTTATTTCTATTTTTGATTTGAGGTGTTTATAATAGCCGGGTCATTACAGCTAATTATGAACAAACTCTAGATTTCCCCTCTAAAGAGGAACTGGAGGACAGAGTTTCCCAACTCGGGGAGCGCCTGGATATAGACGCCGCCCCACTGGGAGATGAACCCCGAGTTGGCCACCCTTGACCTGTACGACACCGAGCTCCTGGTGCTGTCGGCCGAGCTCTACCTCGCAGTCACGCCAACGGAAATCCAGAACCTCGAGGTCCGACTGAACGGCCTGGAGATCCGGGTGGACGCCGAGATCGAGAGATTGGAGCAACTCCTAGACCCCACCCCTGTCCCGTCGCCTACTAAAACGCCCGCACCTACCTCGGTGCCAACCAAAGTAACACTCGCTCCAACAAAAGCACCGACACCACCTAGTACCCAGTCCCCTATCACTACCCAAACCCCACTGGACAAGGTTCCACCTAGATACTAAATATGTGATTTTAATTATAATATCTATAAGGCAAATAAATAGTTGTTTTTATTTAATTGTACA